AGTGTGGCATGCAACCATATTCCCAGGTTGTTGAATTGGTCATGAAAGAATGTTCATTGAAATTAAACTCAAAGTCTTTAACTAAGGGTAATCTTTCAATGTTTAGGGAATAGAGTTTCAAAAGGAAGGCCTTCTATCCTTGGATCTTCTACCATAGGCATCAAAATGATAACAATCACCTAACAAAGTTAGGAAAACTTCCACCATTTTCATCATCATCTTTTTTTTCTTTCTTTTTTTTCTTTTTTTTTTTTTTTTTGGTTTTGTGCAATTTGTGGCAATTCTTAAATATGAATCCTTGGCAAAGGTTTCAAATGGTAAGGATAAGAATTCTCAAGCCTTCTATCATAGGAATGTTTGTTTCAAATTTTGAGATCAATTTCTCTTTGTACATTTCCCTCATTCCCACTCATCCATTATTTCTCCCTCAGTCACTTCCCTCGTTTCTCAAGCTTTCCTCTTTCCTTAAGCCTCAAGTTTCTTTATGAGGTTCAAAATTGAATTCAAGTTCATTAACAATTGAACTCATGGAAGTATAAAATCAAGAACTGAAAAACTATGAATTAAAACATGAAGAACAAAGATTCAAATTGCAATATGAAAGGAGTTTGGAAAATGCAAATGAAAACTAACATGATGGACACATTTTATTCCAAACTGATAGTAATAGGGAAAAACTCCATTGTTCACTTATTCAAGCCCTCATCAGTAGCAGTTCTAAGATCAACCTTGTTTGAGTGGAACTGTAAGCGCTAGTCCCTTCAATATTAAAGGCTATCTAGGAGTTGATGAAACTTGATTGGTGAGAGTAACTGTAGCCACCTCTTGACCTTCCTCAAAATCCTTCTCGATCATGTTGATTGTTGAACCATCATGTGTTGGTAGGGGGTTTTTAGTGATATTCAGACCAACAAGTTCGGGTTTTGATGTAATCTGTAACTCCTTTGCCTCTATCAGATCTTGGAGACGATGCTTTAAAGCAAGACAATTTTCAAGGTCATGTCCAACACCTCCACTATGGTATTCACATCTTGCTTGTGAGTTATACCATGTTGGAAATGGTGGATTTAATGGCACCATAGGTACGAGAGTAACAATTCCAGCTGCTACTAATTTTCGAAACACTTCAATGTATGACAACGGAAGCTTATCAAAATGTCATCTCACTTGTTGTGGACGATTGACCCCAAAGGCGTAAATGAGCCTTGGTTGGCTTGTAAAAGCCGTTGATTGATGAGTTAAAACTTGGAACTGACTATCAAACTGCCCATGTGATTGTTTATTTCTTCCATATGCCTCATAAACTGAGCTTATAGAGCCATTCTCATCTTCCTTCTTTTGATTCTGGCCAACCTTCTTTGAACTAGAAGCCCCTAAACTACCATTTTGGTATTGTTCAAGGAGACTCTTCATTGCTTGATAATCCATGATAATTCTAGACTTGATTCCATCCTCCACTTGTTCTCCCACAACAACCAACTGGGCGAAAGTGTAATTCACACTAGTTATAACTTCTCACGATAAGGTCCTTTGGTTGACTTGATGAATAAATTACTTAATTCATGATTAGTCAGTGGAGGTTGAACTTGAGCAGCCAATCCATGCCATCTCTGAACAAATTCCTTAAAGTTCTCACTTCGTTTCTTTTCTGCCCTTTGAAGATCTTCTTTACTAGGAGCTAGTGATGTATTGTATTCATACTGCTTCATAAAATTGTAAGACAATTCATGCCAACTTTTGACCTTACTTTTGTCTAAAGTAAAAAACCAAGCATCTACAGGACCTGTCAGACTGTCCTAAAAGTAATGTATCATTAGCTTCTCATTATTGGCATAAGGAGCCATCTTCCTACAATACATCGTCAAGTGGGCATAAGGACAACCAGTGCCATTGTACTTATCAAACTCAGGCAATTTAAACTGATGGAGCAGTTGAATGTTTGGAAAAAAGCACAAAGATGAGATGTTAACCAGTTTATTGGTTTGGACACCTTGCATCGATTTTATTGTTTCCTCCATCAACTGCACCTTTGCTTTAATTGCCTTGTCTTCATCCTCTGTGATTGACTTGTCAACTCGAGTCTCTTCTTGATCATTAGATTGGGCTGTAGCAACACCAGCATTTAAATCAAATGGTTTTATCCCAGAAGTTCCACTAATAGTTGGATTTGGTGGGCACGATGACATTGGCTCCTTTCCAAGAGTAGATATGGCGATAGGGAGATTTGCCACAGAAACATTTCCTTCAAACAAGGGATTTGTTGTCAAAGGTGCCCTTGTGACTAAGGTTGCTTGAAGAGATTGGAAGGAAGCCATCAATTCCTTCAAAGTATTTTCCATATTTTCAACACGATTTTCCAGAGCTACCTTCTCTAAATTAGCTTCGTCAGCCATCTTCCTTACAAGAGTTCTAGTGAGAATAGGTGAATGAACTCTTGAATAGTTCTTTTTAGGACCAATCTTTCAACACCTAAATAAAATATGAGCATTATTAACAAATCATGAATTTATCTAATTGGTATTTTGAAAGATAAGTTCCCAAAGTTCCCATTAATGAGTATTCCTAACTTCTATTTATTTATTTTTATTTTTACACATGGATTCTTCATTGTCATGAACAACTTCAGCCACTTGCATGTAAAGGGAAAGGGAAATTAGAGCCAAGCAATTGTCACGGCAGCCAAAAACATGAAGAGATTGCCTCTTTCATGATCTTTTAGAATTTTTTTTTTAAGTAAAAGAAAAATAATGAGGAGATTGCCTCCTTCATATCTTTTCTTCTTTTTATTGAGGAACTTGCTTTTTCTCAACAGATAGAATTCAAGAAAATGTGAAATTTGACTTCAAATTCTCAACCTCAACCATTTCAAAATAGATTTCATTGATCAACTTTTGAATTCATTGTTGGGTGACTAAATAATAATTGAAAATATTTTTCAATGGTGAGCACAAATTTAAACTCAGAAAAAAAACAAAGCAACGAAGACGCAGGACATAAAATCTTAGGATTGCCCTAACGATTTCCTAGTCCAACTCCACTTGCAAGACATCAACTATTCTACCACCTTTCTTGTCAAACCTCACTTTGTCAAGAATACTTAGACTATTTCAAGCAGTAACCAAGTCTTTTACACAAGGTCTTTTGGTTTGCATAGAGAATACATCCTTGTGTGACTTGTTCCTCTTGGATAACGACGGACATTGTAACTCTAAATTCACCCTTTTCTTGTTGATTTTTTTGCAAAGAATTCATGTGTAAAATAATGAATTACCTATTTATTAAAAAAAGAAAAAGGAGAGTTAATGAGTGTCATACCTCTTGGTCGAATTCCTCACCTAAGAAACACAAAATCATTGTTTAAAAACAAAATACTCCCCACGTGTCCTATGTATAAGGTTCTTAAACTTTGAAGGTGATTTACTAGGCTAGCCATCCTAGGGTTAAGTTTTGTCTAAGTCCATTACATGCGGTTTCCTAGTGGATCCTATACGATTAGGTTTTTTTCGATTGCTAACTTCCATAAGTCAACAATTGCCAACTTCTATAGAGTTAACAAGAGACATTTCATGGCCTAATACAGCAGCAGCATTATGGCTGTCAGGCCATATTAACCCACAAAATGAACCTAAAAGGAATAAATCTCACTTCACAAAGAAAGCATTGCGCTTTTCATTGCTCCATGAGTTATCCATCTATCTAGAGGTCGGCTTCACCTCGTTAAGGACAAAAATGAGATGCAAGTGAGATGTGTGAGGGAGTATACACAAAGTGAACATATGAAAATAACAAAATAATTAAATAAAATAACAAAATAAAAAAACTTACAAAATATTCCATGCCACCTGCAAGACAAAAGTTAGTAATTGAAAAACCCCCAAAATTAAAGTATAAATGGCTTGACCCCTCAATGTCCCCAGTGGAGTTGCCAAACTGTTGACGTGCCAAAATGGATGGAGTCGCCATCTATCCAAATGAGGTGGGATAGATCACCAAGGTTTTCGTAGAAATTGACTAGGCTCGGAGGGTCAGTTAAGCATGGGGAAGGTGTTAGGCACCCCACAAACTTCCATATAAATATGGTTACCACATACTTTAATTTTTGGGAGCTTTTCAATTTTTATAAAAAATAAACAATAATATCAAGAAAAGTAAACAAAAAAAAAATTCAATCAAAACCAAAGTTGTCAATACCGTACCGGTATGCGTACCGATTTTGCTACTGGAACGGTACGTACCGGATACCGAAATTTTTCGTGTACCGTTTCGGATTTATCGTTATAAATATATATTTTTATAAATTAAATATCAAATTTTAAAATAAGATAAGAGATGCTAATATTTAAAACTAT